TCATTGAGTTGAGTTGAGTTGAGTTTTTTTTTTTACCCGGCTTGATGATAATGAAATTTCCCTATGGATTTTTTTCTTTGTAATCGAATAAGAATTTTTTTTCCCAACCAAATACTTTTGGATTTATTATTTCGAACTGATCAGGAATGGGAAATTTTTTTTTGAATTAATAATAAAGAAAATTCCTGGAAATTTTCCAGGAATGTTTACATGATCAAATGATTTTGAAATGTCAATATGAGAAAAAAAAACATTCCATAATATTTGTTGTTGTTGTTGTTGGCCATTATTATTATTATTGAATGATTTTATTCTTTTATTTTTTACTTTGACTATTGAACAATTAAATAATTGATAACCATGTTTTTTTTCCAGCTAATTAATTATTGCTGAAGTAAAACAAAATAAAAAACTTAAACTAAATATATAATAAGTAATTGCAAATTCTATATAATTAATTAATTAATTCATTGAATAATGTGAACATTTTCATTTGGATGATAATTCACACACACACACACACACACACACATAAGAGTATTGACAATATAAATAGTCTATATTTATATTAGATTCTTAATCAAAAGAAGATTTTTTTCAGAATTTATCGTAAGACAAGCGAACTAAGAATACATGGAAATAGGAAGAAAAAAAATTTTTTTTTTTTTTTTTGAAACAAATACAGACAGAAAAGGAAACAAAACAAAACAAAAAAAAAATAAACACATCACACATGTATCGAATAGCCGACAACTGCTGATGGGAACATGCAACCAACCAACCAACCAACCAACAAACTCATGCACCCACCAGCCATTCAAACATCAAAACATGTATCGAAAATAAAGTGAGGAAGAAAGAAAATGTCAAAATCAGAAATAATATTGTCAACATTCTAATGTTTCTCTCTCTCTCTCTCTCTCTCTCTCTCTATTTATTCGGTTTGTTTTTATGTTTCTCTCTGATGATGATGACGATGACGATGATGCATCATAATGATGTGAAAGACCTATTCAATTCAGAAGCCAACAAAAAAAAAAAAATTCTAGGTCCCAAACAGACAAAGTTGAATCAAGATATGTCCATCTCAAATTACATCGATGAACGAACGAACTAGCGAAAAAAAAAAAAAAAATTCTGTAGCATCATTGTCATCAAACAACAACAACAACAACAATGTTGATGATGATGAAATTTTAGAAAAAATTTTTTTTCTTGGTTTCTTTACATTCACTATATCATTGAAAACAAGGCCTGAAATTCGAACCGTTAAGCACACACACACACACAGTTCGATAATGATGATGATGATAATAATAATAAAAGATTTTCATCATCATCGAATCCTTCAAAAGAATTAACTTTTGATAATTGAACAAAAAAAAAAGAAAATATATAAGGAAAATTCATAACAAAAACTCATTTTGAGACACAATAATAATCAATCGAACAATTCACTTTGTCATTATTTACTTTATCATCATTTTATATATACAAAGACAAGATGAATGAAACTAATGTATATAAGAATTTGGATAAAAAAGTTTCACAAAAAACACACATGAATGAGTGAGAACAGATACAAAAAAAAAAAATCAGAATTACAGAATCAAATAAATCAAATTCATGAATTTCATTCGATTTTTGTTATTATTACTGCTACTACTGCCACTACCACTACTATTGCTACTACTACTACTACTACTATGTATGTGTAAACCGTAAAAATAATCCATATATATGCAGATGGATAAAGTGATTCCAAGAATATTCGAATCCATTTATTTGGTTGGTTAGTTAGTTTGGCTAAATCTTTTTTTTTTTTGGTATTAACAATGAATAAATTCTCAATACCTTTTGTGACATTGGCAACAGAATTCGTTGAATTGATTTTATATGAATTTCAATATTTATAAATATTTCACCATTAGATGTTGATGAATCCATGGCTGTTGATTCTTTTTCTGTTTGTTGTTGAACCATTTTTTTGTTGTTGTTGTTAAATTCAAATTTCTTCGATAAACTTATTTGTCATAACAAATATTTTTTGACAGGTGCACACATGTTCGCACACACACGTTATATAGATTTTTTCAGAAAAAAAAATTCTAAAACAACCGATATATATATATGACAATGTGATGTTGACAAGTTTTTTTTTCGAGCATAAAATGAACATTCACTGTGTGTGTGTGTGTGTGTGTGTGTGTACATGTGGAAAAAATTAAAAATTATTTTGCCGGTATCGGTGTGTGGGTGTGTGTATGTGAAACATTGATCGATGTTTCAAATGTCTTATTATTATTATAATAATATCGCTGTTCATATAGTCAATTCGATGTCAGAAATAAAAAATTTTTTTTCATTCACCTGAGGCCAAATTGTTTCTAATACAATCGATCGATTTGTTCGAATATTGAAAAAATGACATGTATATGAAAAATTGTTTGTCATTCTAATCAACTTGTCGACAATGATGGTAATGATGATGATGACAATTGCAATTTTTTCAGTGTAATGAGATGAGAAATTACAAAAAAAAACTAAATGCATGGGCGTGTAAACAAAAAAAAAATCCCAAATGTAAACATTTATTAAATGGTAAAAATTTGCTGAATTTTTTTCCATTTTATTCTGGTTTTCACCGATGATGATGATGATGATGATGATGAATTTGATTCAAAGATTGAAATCACGATTCTATTATCTGAATTTTGATTATTTTAGTGCTACACACACACACACATGCACATACACACAACTTAGCCAAATTGATTTCATTTGTTTTAGATGTTGATGATGATGTAATCCATTTGATGGACTGCAGAATATATTCTTGAGAGTTATTTTTACGATGCCAAAAAATACATTAGTTCCAAATTTAATGATGATGATGATGATGATGATGATGGCTGTTATATTTCGTAACACGAATTTCTATAGTCCGACAAAAAAAAATGAATTTAGATGATGTTTGATTGATGATGGTGATGAAAAATCTCAAGATGAAACTATGGAAGAATTTTTTTTTTGTTTTGTTTTCAATTATTAATACGATGGACCTTGTTGTTGTTGTTGTTGTTGTCTAGTCTTACTTTTTTGTCCATTAAATTCATAAATGTGAATCACAGTAACACACGAAGCTGGAATTTTCATATAAAAATTATTTGGTCGTTCAGATCATGATCATGATCATGATCATTATCATTATAGGACCCTAAAGATATATGAACAACAAATCAATATCAATGAATTTTTTTTTTACTTTTTTTCACTGGTGTGAATTGAATGAATAATCAATGTAGAATTGTCGGTTTATGGAATCATATTATTCGTTTTAATTTAACGGAATAATTTTTTTGAATGGCAAAACAATAAATTCTATATCTATGATGATGATGATGATTATAATGGGTTTATGAACAGCAAGGATAAATATTTTTCATTTTTTCATTTTATTTTTTTTTGGTTATGGTTGCCAAAAAAAATGTCGCTAGTGACGACGACGACGACGACGACGATGACGACGTTGATGTAATCATTATAATCGTCGTCATCATCCAACAACAACAACAACAGAATAAATTTCGTTACATTTGGCATTCATTCCCTGTTGTTGTTTTGGTGGAATAATCATCATCATCATTGCATTTATTATTATTCTTGTCATCATCATCATCATCATCATCATCATCATTAGACGTTGTTTTTATATATATTCCCTATTGGCGTATTTTGTTGTTGTTGTTGTATTTTACTATCCAAAACAAAATTCATTCACATACAGGAAATTATCATCATTTTTGATTTCATTCATATGCATCCAACGAATTTATATATATGAACCGGATATAGAAACAATATAATGATGATGATAATGACAAATTTTTTTCTTATCTCGTTATATATGCTTTCTGAACGAGATTATTTTCATTTTTTTTTGCAAATTTCCAATTCAATATATGAATCGATCGATTAATCAATTCGTATATACAATAATAATGATAATGATAATATCGATTATGATACAAGAATTGCAAATAATAAATGTCATTATTATGATTCTTGTCCAAGTTGAATGAATGAATGAATGGTTCGATCATCCTGATATAACGAATGATTGGATTTTGAAAGAATTATGATGATGTGGGGATGGGGGATTACAACAGTTAATTAAACAGATTCGTCTCATGTGTAAGCAGCATGTGTTTGTTACCGATTTTCGATTGTTTGAGATTTTTTCTCATTATCAGGAAACAAAAATATTACTGTAACATTGTAAAGGCAAATTTTTATCACTATTTCCGGTAGTTTATGAAACTGAACAGCCAGAAAAAAAAAACAAACAAGCCTGGAATTATTCATTTTCGTTTGCTGTTTCATTTTTTTATGTCAATCTATATGGAAGAGAAATATTAGATAGAGAGTATCGAACATCATCATAACCAGTCCATTGACACCTCTCAGTGATTATATAACCCCAAACATTCGATATCTTTTTTTTTTAGTTTAGTTTCTCTTTCACAATATTATCATCGTTATGTGTAACATACAAACACCATTATTATCATTACCATCTATGAAAAAATATCCATCCATCCATTCATTCAATCTATATATCTCTAGATATATACCGCTATGATTTTTTTTCCTATTTCTTGATTTTTTGTTTGAAAAAAATTAGAAAAATAAATCAGTTGCGCAAGCGTCCCGTTCTATATTTTTACAATTTTGGCCATGGATCCATTCATTTATTCAGCATAATATATGAATGTGATCCTGTTCTTTTTTTTTGTTCACCGTTCATGCATTCATGTGTATCTTGCGTGTGTCTGTGTGTGCCTGTGTTTGAATACAACTGTCATATTTCAATGTTTTCAATTATGCCACTCGTTTTCTCTCTCTCTTCATTCTTTTTCCATATGACGACGATATTTTTGTTGTTGTTGTTGTTGTTGTTGTTGCAATTTCAAAATTTAGCTGCTCAAAACTTTGTTGTTGTTGTTTATGATTATTCAACAGTATTTTTTTTTTGTTGTTGTTGTTGACTAAATGATTGTATTTACAACATAACGATTAAAAGTACCGTTATCAATCCAGATCAGATGTTTCTATTTTTAATTTTGAATTCTATTTTAAACTAATGTTTTTTTTTTAATTTTTTTTTTTGAATTTAGAAAAAATTAAATCGTCAATTTATATATATATATGATCATGTCATTGAACGATTGTAATCCATTTGCTGATGATCTGTATATATGAATAAGATCAGAATTTCAAAAAAAAAACGAAAGATCAAAACATTGAAAAAGAAATTCGTTTGAATGAAGCTAAATAAAACGAAAATCAGTTCGGTGAGTACGACTTCGTTATGCAGTGAAAAGGAATCGTCGTCATCACAATCATCGAATATTCATCATCATCATCAACAACAACAACAACAACAAAATCATTATAACCATAACCATTTTCATGATTCCAATCCTGCAACAATGTTATTACCGAATACAACGGCAACAGCATTTCGTTCGTTTATTAAAACAAAAAGTACTGGTATTATGATACGTAAAGATCATTCAGATGATGATGATGAAGAAGTGGAAAAATTATGCGATAGTGAATGTTCAAAATTATCAAATGAATGTTGTTCAACACCAAATACGGCTGATGATACGGATGATCGACATCCTGAATTTTCAACAACAACAAAAACCAATGTTATTGTTAATTCTTCATCAAATGATAATTCTGATCTAGTCCACGATCAATCACAAAATCGATCATCATCTGATCATTCACATGATTCTTTTGCTATTCATTCGATTGACACCAATCAATCATTCATATCATCAGAATTGTATGAACAACAAACTGAAACTGGTAGCATATCAAGTTCAACATTCATTACTACTTCTGGTGGTAATAATAATCAACAACACCAACAACAACAACAACAAAAACAACAACAATTACAAAAATCTGGCGCTAAACGTCATCATCATATTCGTACTAATCCAATATTACCGATTTTGAAATCAAATCGTTTTGTTAAACATTCTAAAGCAAGTAATATATTGTTCACGAATAAAACACAAAAAAATCAAATGAAAAAACGTACCAGTTCTGAGAGTGGTACATCATCATCATTATACTCAACAACTAGTCAAGAATTAGTTCGATCACTACGTTCCGATAGAATGATATTGACACAACCGGACGAGGATCGTAGAAGACGTACAATTATCATTGAAAAACAAAAAAATACATTCGGTTTTACATTACAGGTTTGTCATCTTATTGTTATTAATTTCTTGATTTTAATTCATTTTTTTTATAACCAACAACAGACATATGGCATCAAAATTGGACAAGAGATTGAATTAATCACTTATGTAGATGAAGTAAGCTATGGTGGACCAGCATTTCGTGGTGGTATGCGTCCTGGTGATGTTATTTTATCGATCAATGGACGTGATGTTGAACGAGCCGATCATCAGACGCTAGTCAATTATATTAATTCTTGTGAAAAAACAATGCGTTTAGTTGTATTGTTTGAAGATTGTGTACGTAAAATTGAGCTTCATCTTGAATTTATCAAATTACAGGTTTGTAATGAAATTCTAGATTCATCTCATTATCATCATCATTATAAATTATTTTTATTATTCTTCAACAGAAATCTTTACAACAAAAGCTAACACAATTGGAAATTCTGAATCAACGAGAAGATCAGATTCTACTTAATGCTGCCTTACGAAATTGTACATCAAACGAAAATAATAATAACAATACTAATGAAAATTTTGTTGGTCAATTACAAATGAAGAAAAAATTTGCAAGCAAATCTTTAAATGTTAGTTTAAATGATTTAGATGATTGTCGTTATGATATTGATGATGACGATGATGATGATGATGATGACATTCTAGTTGATGATAGAATTCGTCCACCAAATGATTATTCAACATCAACATTTCCAAGAAAATCATCACACATAATCTATGTCAATAATAGTAACAACAATAACAATAATAATCAGACAAACATTCGAATCGGTAAAGATGAAGAAGAAAATGAAATACTCATAGATGATGACGATGATAATAGAACCTCAAACAATAATGATGCTGATGATGATGATAAACGTAATGGTAATAATAATAATAATAGTGATCAAATCATTGTACAAAATGATAATAATGATTGTAAACAATCAATATCATTACCACAATCTGTTCATAATTCATTGGATTGTTTAACGAATGAAGCTTATGAAGATGATGAAAATTTAATGCTCGATCATAATAATCATCATCATCATCAACCAACACAAAACAAAACATCAAATCATAAAAAGAATTTATCATCCATTTCAATACATTCAAGTGATTCAAGAGATTTTATTACCAAACTATAGATTATAACTTTTTTCATATGCAAATTATTATTATTTATTTAAAAAGTTTTATTTTTAATTAATATTTTCACTTTTATGAAAATCAAAAATTTAAAAAAAATGAATCGACAAATATTTTTCTCTGTACAAACAAATAATAATAAAAAATGAATTATCAAATTAAAGTTATTAGAGCAATGAAAAATCAATCTTGTTTTAATTTATCAGATGATGATTCTTCTGGTTGTAAATTTTCTTTTGGTGATCCAAATATTTTTGTCCATACAAGACTTAATGATGAACGGAATGGTGATTTTCTCATGAATGAACGAAATCCAAGAAAATCGCTATTTGTTGTAGTTGTTGATAATGGATCACCAACATAATTTGAACAATCAATATTTGTTGTTAACCTATCCGATGGTTTTGGTAAAACAGAAAATGAACTACAACGTGATCTTTGCAGTTGTTGTTGTTGCTGTGGATGTTGATGATGATGATGATGATTATGAAATGATTTAGACATTGCATAAGTTGCAGGTAATGGTTTTCTTATGAAACTTCGTCGTAATAATGGATTACGATCTAACAACGGTGTTGGTGGTGGTTGTTGTTGATCATCGTCATCGATGTATGATAATTGCTCTGTTTGTTTGATATGCAATGAGGATCGATTTTTACAAGGATAATGATGACAGATACTTTTGCAAAAAAAATCATCATCATTGTCATTGTTATCATCGTTCCAATTGGAACTAGTATTATTAGTGACTAGTAAATTTTCGTAGCTATTACATAACACAGACGATTGTAAAATACCATTTGAATGAATAGAATTACGATAATTGTTCATTTCGAAATTCGTTGAACAATTATTCATATCGAATGATGATGATTGTTTCGTATCGACATTGTTATTATGGAATTTCGGTGTCGAAGTTCGTATTAAAATTTGATGATGAATATTGTTCTCTTTCAATGATAAACGTTTCTTTTTGTTTGTCACCTGCTGCAGTGGTTGCTGTTGTTGATATTGATTAATTTTCGGTTTATGAAAGGCCATTGTCGAATCATTCATGATCAAATGACTAAGCGATAATGCAGGACGGATAGAACTAGTAAGAGATCTGGATACTGCTTTAGATGAATAATTTGATGTCCTAGATATTGGTTTACAGGTATCTTTTAAAGAAGAATTTGACGAATAAAATTTAAAGATTTCGAAAATTAAAAACTTACCTGGTGAATACATTTTTCTTTTTATTGTAGATGTCTTTTCAATTAGATTATCATCAGCATTGTCAACACCGTAAATATTCCATAAAGATTTACAATGTTTTTGTCGTTGCCACGTATGTCGTTGTTGACGTTCCAAAAGATATAGCTTACGTACATCAGGTTTTATTTCTGTTCTTGTCGGACGTAATTGACTTTGATCATAATTGTGAATAGCAGTCATCAAACGATCATGAAGACAAGGTTCATAATTTTGAACAAATTTTGATGACTTTGGCAAATTACGTCTCTCAGAAGGAGGTTTTAAATTCTTCAATTTTTCTGCAATCGATTCTTGAGTAAACATTACAGGTAATGATCGTAACGATGATGGTTCAGATTCATCATCATTATGATTAGCTGCTTTTCGTAGATTTTCACGTATATTTTCGATATGTCGAAGTAATTCATCATTTTTGGGAGTCAATTTTTGTTCCTTAGATTTCGATTCATCATCATTGTGAACATGATCGTCATGTAAAGGAACCGGTCGAAGACGAACACCGAATCGAAGTTCAGACATTACTTTTATCCAGGTTTGTGCCCATATTTTTAGACTTTCAGTATCTAGTTGTTGATAAGATGATGGTGATAGATCAGATGAAGCGAATAATTTATTCAAATGTTGTTGCCGTTGATCATCAGGTCCATTATGATCATAAAATTGATTGACTAATTTACTTAATTTAACTGCCTCATCAATCATCATTTTACAGACAGTACGATAATAATAATCAGCACCCAATTGATTTTTGGTCAATAACATTTCGATTGTTGCATTCTTTTCCGAAGATTGTATCAATGTTTGATAATGTTGTTCACATTTGACTAGGACCCAATTTAAACAACTTTCTTCCATTGCATCAATATAACCTTCATCGACGAGATCTTTATGTTCGGATCCACGGATCATCGAAAGCATTAATAGTTCAAGACTTTCTTCAAGGTCTAATTCTTCTTCTTCTTCTTCTTCGTCATCATCATTATTGTTTTTTTGTTGATTGGATGACAGCTGGCAACGTTTCCAATTCCATTCTAATGCTGAATAGATAATTGTTGCTAGAGAAGCAATCAAACCATTAATTGATTCATTCATCAAACGTTTATCATCATTTTTAGTGAACAAAAGTATATCATTATCATCGTCTTCGTCAGTTTCGGCATTATTATTTTTATTATTATTATTATTATTATTATTAGTAGGCATAACTTTTGCCCTATTATCAATCGACACTGTCCATGTTGAATTGCATACATTTCCATGATGATCGAATAAAATTTGTGAAAATGAAGTCAACTTTCGTAATAAAAGTTCACAGCCGTTTATTTTAGTTCCATTTCGTCGTTCGAATTGCATCAACAATTCATTCAATGTTTTGGTTGATTGATAGATTAAAGCCCATGCCTGTTCTTGATTGATATTACATTGAAATGTATTCATTATGAAATTCAATGAATTTATTATTAAAGTCGATGATGATAATGATGATGGCGGTGTCGATGATGATAATGATAATGATTTAGCCGTTGATATTGGTGTTTTTGATGATATGGGAAGGGAATTTGTAGGCGTTGATGGTAATATTAATGATGATGAGGTGATGGTCGATAATTGTTGTTTATTATTATGGCTATGATATTTATTTGATGATTGTTGTGATGGTTTTATGGCTGTGGTAATGATTGGCATCGATGTAGATGTTCCAATTGTTGTCGTTGTCATTATTGTTCGTCTCTGATGATGATGATGATGATGATCATCACAACGAAAATAACTTTGGTGATCGACCACTGACATTTTGTCGATCATATATATCAATAATAATATATCGATTCTTGATCGGTCATTTCACATTCACATCAATGTTGATATTGATTGATTTAAAGTATTGATCAAAATTGATCTTACGATCGATAGATCCATTGACCTAAACAACAATCGATTGATTTGAAGGGAAAAAGAAATAGGTTGATCACAACAACAACAAAAAAAAAATAATAAAAATTCAATGTAAAACACATACACGCCCGTAAAAAAAATTGGAGAAAAAAATTCAATTATGACGCTTGTCGATATTTTTTTTTCACTGTCGTGTTCGTATAGGTTTTGCCTTATTTCACATGAAACAAATTCAAAAGATGATTCAAATTCATCAAAGATATCGGTTATCAATCGAACGTTATCGAGCAAACACACACACACACAAAAAGAAAAACACGCATGGGGTATGACGCAAAAACAAAAAAACAAAAATAAAAAATTATAGTTCACAGTCAATTTTGTTGTTCAAATATAACGTACATTGATGATCATACCAAAAACCAACACACGTTGTTCAAGACCACCACAACAACAACAAATGTTGGATCAACACAAATTTTTTTCTGATTAAATCTATAAAAAAAAATGGTAATGATAATTATTCTTGAGAAATCTCTTGTTGCGATATAAATGAATGAATGAATGAATGTCAAAATGTTGAAAATTTCAAACAAACAAACAAATGAAACAAAAATTGCGTCGTAATCAAACAGGTCAATAACGTGTGTTTTGTCGTTGTCGACGTAGTTGTTGATAATGTCATTGGATTATTGAAAATAAGGTCGATATTTATGATAATAATAATTGTCGGCACATAAACAATTAAATAATTTATAACAAAAAAAAGTAAGTTGTTGAAAGTGGAAGTTTTTTTCAAATTATAATTAATTTAAATGTTTTTTTTTTTGTATGTATAATATATATAGCAAAATTCAAAGTTGGCAAATTTTTTTTGTTTTGTTTTTGTTGCAATTGACCATCGTCATCGTTGTCATAACACAATTTGAAGACTTGATTTTTTTTGTCTACTTTTTTTTCATGAAAGAGACCAATGGAGATGATAATAAATCGTAGTGGTAGATTGTTGTTGTTGTTGTTGCAAAAAAAAGATTCAGCACTTACGATGATGATGAACGAATGATGAAAACTTTCATTTTGTTATCTTTCACGATTTTCGATTTTCTTTTTTCTTATCTTTCCGCCGATTTTTATTTTTGATTTGTTTTGCCGATTTTTTTTTATATTTTGGTTTTGGTTTGGCCAGTTTTTTTTCATACCGCTTTGGTCAAGAAAAAAGAAATGAAAATAACTACTTTCTACTGATTTGATTTGATTCAATTCGTTACGATCAAATGAAAATGTATGTGTTTCAAGAAAAATGTAATGGATTGAATTGAAATGGTGGTGGTGGTGGTTGGCGAACCCGAACGAACTTAACAACACACACACATACACGCGAATACATATAAAAGACCTATCAACCGATAGACCGATCAATGATGATGATGATGATGGTGGTGATGAAGATGAAAATAAAAATGACTCAGGTTTTCATTCATAAAAAAAGCGAATAAATCCAATGATCCGATGTTATTCGCACTTGTTGTTGCTGTCTACATTTTTTTTTTGAACACATTATTATCATCATCATTCGGTTCCGGCCTGAAACAAACCATAAAAAAACATGATTATTATGATGATGATGATGAACATCGTATAAATAAATATATATATGATCAATCAATTCTTTCTATAGTGCATCGTAATAGAACAAAATAATTCTATACCCCATTGATGATGATGACGAAGTACAAATGAAAAAAAAAAAAAAATTTATGCTGATCACGAAGTCATTGTAATGAAGATGTCAATGCTATGATGATGATGATGAACCTAAAACGATGATGATAATAATAAACACCTGGTGATGAAGAAGATATATATTGATTTCCGAATTGTTGAAAAAAAATGAAAGAAAAATTGTCAGAATATTTTATTGCATAATATATAACTACATTATCATCTCAAACACACACACACAGAGATAGGAAGCAGAAAGTTAACACTAATAAAAGATGTAAACAACACACACACACACACACTTGAACAATGAAAATGGATGGATTTATCTTTGTATTTCATTTTATTGTTTCACTCACAATTCAACAACAAAAAAAAAGTTTTTGTTTCCGCAACAAAAAAAAACAACAACAACATTTGTTAACATCTTTGTGTTGATGATAATTTGGTAAAAGCAAAAAAAAATTATTACATTGATGATGATGATGATATCAAACATTGACACGTTTGACAACTGGAACGAAATGTTCGGTTTTTTTTTGTTTGTTTGTTTGGTATAACATTCAACAAGTTATTGGCTTAAACATCATCATCATCATCATGGAAACCTTAAAAACACAAACAAACATCAATCGTAGAACGAATCAATCAATCAATTATATATTTATCTATGAAACAACTTTCTATTTAAATTCATAGTACCTGCCATGAATGAATGAAAAAAATGAAATCAATGATTGGTTAGTCTTTTTTTTCCACTTTCTATAACTATGAACACCTACAACAATCGATAAATAAATGATGATGATGGTGGTGGTTTTTTTAGGGGTCGGGCAAATTGGCGCTGCGAATACAATGAAAGTTGTTGCTGTTGTCGTTTTTTTTTTGGTATTCAAATAATCGAAAATATCTGACGCATATGGTAACGGTGAAAAAAAAATTGATGATGAAATGTGACCGAAAATAAATAGAAAAAAAAGAACTAGATCATCCAAATCATTGAGAGATGTGATGATGTAAATCCATTTCAGATGATGATGGTGATGGTAAGGTTTGATCGGTCATCATCATTATCGTTTTATTGTTGTTGATGTTTGTGTATTTTTCTTTTTTGGGGCCACAAAAATTACCACACACACACACACTTGATCTATCATTATCGTTTTATAAACGGGTAAACAAGAAAAAAAAAAAAAAATAAACAAACGAAAAAATTTTTACGTCGAATATATAGTCTTATTGTTTGTTAATAAACACTATAGGGCGCCATGGTCCAAAGAACGACGACGGCAACGTTGATGATGATGATGATGATGGATTTAGAAATATCAACTCTTTCATCATATAATATTATCGTTGTTGAAATTCAGAAATTATTATTGTTGTTGTCGAAAAAATTGTTGTCTTTCTCTCTCACTCGTTCTAGGTATACATTTGAATCCAACGTGAATGTAGAACAATGGTAGATATATCTATAGTTGAGATAGACGCAAGCTATAGCCATCATCATTGTAGATTGCTTGTGTACACACACACACACACACACACACACAGTTCACCTGGCCAAAAGATAAACTACAATAGATTCGCAAAAGAAAAAGAGACACTTGTTGTTGTTGTTGTGCGGTGTGTGTGTGTTTCACAGTCTAATGGTTTTTTTCTCGCTGAAATGAATATCATCATCATCATCTTCGTCGTCGTCATATAACAATGTTTTTTTTCCATTTGGATGCAAAAGAAAAAGAAAAAGAAAACTCTTTGGGAGTAACCAAAAGATTGAATTGAGAAACAAAACAAAACAAAAAAACAAAAAAAATACATTATGGCGCCCTGGCTTGCGTGGCGTGTGTGTGTGTGTGTGTTGTTTTTCTGTTTTGTTGATTTATTTTTCTAATTTCATTCATGTTTTTTTTTCATTCATTTATTCAGGTGAAGGAAATCCCGTTTTTGATGCACACACACACAGATACACAGATACACACAAATAAACATGCAATGCACGTTTTTTTTTTTTGATACGAATGAGGTGAACCAAAATATATACGTAGAAAAAAAAGAGCATTATTACAATCCTTTTGGGATTCTAATGTAATGAATTTTTCAACCTTTAAACAACGCCATCAATTAATGTTGATGATGGTGATTACGATAATAGCATCATGATTTCGTTTTTTCTCCAATTTAAAAAAAAACAACAAAACGGAAAAGTTGATCGAATGAAAATGAGAGAAAAAAAATCTCGAAAATTTTCGACAATAATAAATGTTATCGTTATTATATGTACATGTGACGGTAATTGATCCATATCTATAGATATGTAGTCGATTATTGATTGTTGTTGTTGGCTAAATTATTGATTTTGACATATTTCGGGTATCGGTTTCGGTTCATTTATTCATTTCTCTAACCCAATATATGAAACAAATAATAAAAAAATTAATTTTCTCTACAACAACAACGATTCAATTTGATTTTTTTCGGATTCGATTGATAATCATCAATCCAGTTTATTAATCGGGTCGATCGGTGTCAGTAGCAATGTCTGTGTGTGTGTGTGTGTGTGTGTGTGTGTGTGTGTTCATTTTCAATCAATCTATCCGTGATCGATAATGTCAAAACTAATGACAAACAGACGTAGCAGCAACAACTAAAATTAATGTTTTATTCATCATTGTTAAATTCAAATATTAATCGATTCTTGTTGTTTGGGGAAGGATTAACCGAAAATGAAATAATTTTTTTTATTCATGTTAATCGATCGATCGATCGATATATTTGAAATTCAATTTTTTTTTCGCATTCACCCTGAGAATTGGATCTAATCTAATCGATATTATTATTTTTATTTTTTTTTGATGTATCATTTCCATCAAACAACGGCAACATTGAATTTAAAACAGTGAAAAAAAATGTAAATTTTATCTATTAGATTGTTAATCTAGTTTTTTTTGCACTAGAATGATTTTGAATTAAATCCAAAAGCAAATGATAATGATGACCACCTGTCATTCGGTCTATTTATTCATCTATATCTGGTCAATGTATATGAGTGGTGGAAATTGTTAGTTTGATTACTGCACACACACACCACACTGTTACTACGAACCATGACAACAACAACAACAAAAAAATTTTTGGGCGAATTTTATAAATAAATCGGGTATATGAACATAGATAAAAAAAAATTATGACAAAGGATAAAAAGAAAAAGAATTGTCACACAAAATACACATGCACGCAAGCATACCACAATAATTGGATTCCATTGGATCATCAAACAAGTAGTAACATAATAAACAATTGACAGTATCTAAAAAAAAATTGTGATCAGAAAAAAATCATTTTTTTTTTGACATGAAAATTCGTAATCAACAATGGAAAAAAAATTGTATTTGACAACGACAACGATGACGACGATGATGATGATGATGATGAATCATGGCATACAGCAACACACACCATCACCGGACACATATATGTTGAACCTGTTGTTGTTACACATGCACACACACACCTGTTGTTGTTGTTGTTGTTATTCGTATGAATGAATTCATGCAAATTTTTTTTTTTTTTTTTGTCAACATTTCATCATAATCATGAAAAATAAAATTTTCAGTTTTTTTTCTCTCACAAAATTTTTTTTGTCACTTAAAAACTACGTTTTAAATTTTTTTTTTTTTTTTTCATTCGAGAAATCATACACACACACACACACACACACATAAAAACAATTTGCGGAATGAATAAATTGAAAACATTTTGACATTGTCGTCGTTGTGTGTGTGTGTGTGTGTCATTATTGTGGCCATTTATCACATACACACGCCTAAACGGAATTCTTTTTTCTCTCTCTCTCTCTCTCTCTCTCTCTCTCTCAATCGGAACCACCATTCAGATTCGTTCATTCGTCAGTTTGTTCGTCCATTTTGTGGCACACAATATAATAATGAAATTTTTGTTTTTTCTTTTCGCATGAAATTTTTCTTTCTTTCTCTCACTCTCTTTTTATATATATTTTTTTTTAAAATAGGTGTTTGTGTTGTCGACAATTGCTGTTTCGGATATATATATGTAAATGATTTGGCCTCAAAATTATCCAACCGTTTATAAGCAGTCGTTCGTTTTTTTTTTTTTTTGTTTATTAGGTATTCATAAATTGTAAATTTTTTTTTCTTCTTCTTCTTCTTTTTCTTTCTGATCATCTTTTTGTCTGCATTTTAAATCCTACCGGTTCACTACACATATGATGATGATGATGATCATTTTTTTTCACCATTTTTTCTTTTGATACTTTTTTTTGAATGGAAACAATCATCGTATTTTGACTAAATAGTGGTCCTAATGATGGTAATGATAATGATAGGTTTTTTTTTGTTGTTGTTGTTGTTGTTATACAGATTGAACTAGAATTTTTCAACACACAATCCATGATGATTAACAATTGTTGTTGTTATTGTCGTGATTTATGACAAAATTTTAATTGAAAGTCACATATGACACCCAAGTGAAAATTATTCTTCCATAACAAATTATTGAATTTTAATCACTAAAAAATTACAGATAAATTATGATAAAGTTAATTAATATGAACACTTACCCATAGGTTGGATTCATTTATCCAAAGATGATTTACATGATTATGATCAAACAATTCAACAAAACTATCATCCATACACACAAAGTACAAAAACTATCGTAGTATGCAACAAGTTAGTATAAATGTCTCTGATGTTGATTACATGGCGACAAAAAAATTTCTAAAATTCTCATCAAAATATCCTGGATATCATTATTATCAGATTCTTGGCATTTATTTTATTAAGCTAACACTACTATAGTCAAAGTCATAATAATAAAAATGATGATGATGATCTTGAAATTTATCCACATAATTTTTTGACATTGTTATTAGTAACCATAAAATGAAAAAATGCAATAATCAAAAAAAAAAAAAAAAACAAATGGATCAACAAATATTAAGCAATAAAAAAATTATTTATCTTCCCCCTTCCCCCCATCGCATAAGAAAATGTTGTAGTTGTTAAATGATGATCAATTGATTATTTGAATCATAAAAGATGAATGAATTAAAAATCGTAATGCCAATAACACCCATAAGGCCCAGAATAATGTCAACAAACCAAATAATGTATCGAGTAGTAAATTTTTTGGTTGACGATCAAATACATTCATTAATTGTTGATTTCCATATTTACGTAATCGTTCTTCAATCATTTTTCTATCAACTTTTTTACGATCCCATGCTAAATTTAACCATGCACATAGATCAATAAATGCTGTCATTGGATTATAATTAACATCCCAACGAAATTCTGATGCAGAATAATCCCAAGGAAATGCATGATGATAATTATGATATGCTTCACCCATTGTAACATATGTAGTGAATCGATTTTCAGTTGGTTTGATACGTTCATCATATGGTTTACTACCCCAAATATGTGCAGCTGAATTGACCAATGCAGTTTGATGTAATGATAATGCTATTCGAAACAGATTCAGGCATGTTGCATTTATAAATGATTCATTCCATAAAAAACATGGCACAAATGTTGGAATCATAAATGTTATAAGCAAAACCTATTGGTTGTAAAAAAAATCAAATTGTTATAATGGGAAAAATCACAAAGTCAACAAAAACTAACCAATGGAACATAGAATCGATGTTGAAACCAAACAACTGCGTCATTTTCTAAATCAGTAATATCAATTTTTTGACTTTTCTCCAAATATTCTGGATGACGATCGGTAAATATCCATCCCATATGTGAATAGAAAAATCCACGTTTAGCATTATGTGGATCAGCATCAGTATCAGAATATTTATGATGAACACGATGAAATAAACACCATTGAAGAATACTAAGCTACAGGTGAAAGAATGAACAAAAAAAAAAATAGATTAGATAAAAAAAAATTCTCGAAACAATCACAAATCATACCTGTAATGCTAATGTTTGACAAATCATAAGAAAAATTCGTAACAAAAAATGTGCTCGATATGCACGATGTGTCCAAAGTCGATGGGCACCACAAATAATACCAGTGGCGCCAAATTGTATGAGAATAAAATAAAAAACAAGGGTTTTAATTTGAGCATACATAATAGCTAAATAGATGCCAATCAATGCACCAATATGACCAATAGTCAACGATATGACAAACCACCAGTTCCATTTCCATCGATATGGTTTAACAGATTCTTCACTATAAGTTTTAATCACTTTATTATTATTCATCATAATCAATTGTTGATGGCATAGAATTCTTGTCATGTATTTTGTATTTTCCACCACTACAATTGTTGATTATACCAATTGATCATTGTTTGTTGTTGAACAAAAATTTGTCGATCACATCACGATGAACAATCATCACCATGAAAACATCATCACCACAAGCAAAAAAAAAATCGGATTGGATTTTTCTTTGCACAAAAAAAAATCAAAAGATTCATTCAAAGAGAAAAATGACTCTTGGATGATGATTTGAATTTCATATTTTCATCATAACGGCGATGTTTGAGAAAAATGGAGAAAAAAAAATTTTTGATTTGACAAATCACTTGAAATACGATAAGAGGACAAATAAATGGATTGTATGATGACGATGATGATGATGATGATATACATTCACCAATGTGAAGAATGAATTTTCTTTTGCCGTTTGCAATTTGGTTCCACCTTTTATCATTTTTCTCACTTTTACTTTTTTTTTCATCATCATCATTTTTTTCTATTGTAAAGATTGAAATGGGAAAAACACAATTGATCACTTTGCAATTGTGTGTGTGTGTGTGTATGAAATTATGGTTTTGGAACAAGTTTTACGACACACACACACAAACAATGGAATCATTTGTGTCAAACATAACTTTTTCGATATTTGTCTTTATTTGTATGTACAATTGCGGTCATAAGAAATAAAATTGATGATCATCATCATCATCATTGGTCAGTTGGAAAAGTTAAAGACACACACATAGATGATGTATGCATGTGTATTGTGATTATTCAAAATCATTTTTAAGAAAGGCAATAAAGTTGAATCCATTTTTAATAGATTTTGATTGTTCGTACATGAATGTGGCCAGAAAAAAAAGACATAAACGATAACATAAAAAATAAAATTCGACCTCAAAATTTGAATCCAATCAACAATAAAATGAAGGAAAAAATATTTTTGAATCAAAATTTTCATTCATAAAATGATGGCGACAATTTGAAATTGTTTGTAAATCAGGAAGTGACAACAACAACAAAAAAAAAAAAAAGAAAAATCGAATGTCAATATTGCATATAATTGAATCATGTTTCTCATAATTACTCGTAAGCATCATAATCGAATTTATTATTATTATGGTATATTCACAACCGATAACAACAATCGATGGTTTTTCCAGATTCCAACAACAACAACAACAACAAAAAAAAATGTGTGAATAAATTTAGTAAACAAACAACAAAAATGTTTATGATTTTACATAAATAAACGAGTCGATAAATGGTGGAAATTTTGTTTCTTTGAATATAGGAAAAATAAACATACGTTCACCTGGAATGGAAAAATCTTTTAATGAGAAATCGATGAAAATCACATCGATTAAAAATAATGATGATATGATTCTTAATGTTGAAAAAACTAAATTGAAAACTATGCAGCAAAACAAATTAACACCATCAAAACGATCACAATCACCATCTGTACAAAGTACAAAAACAAAAACCGAATCTTTGATAGGAATGATGAAAAAAATCGAAATAAAACCAAAATCAACGATAACAAATCAATCATCATTGATATCAATCAATGATGAAGATGAATATTGTAAAACTGGTCTAAAAAAATTGGTAAGAAGATTTTTACCCGAAGATTATGATTCAGATCCAAGAAAAGCACAGGATAAATCATCTGATCAACCGATACCGGATCCAGCAGATTCTTGTCAACCAAATTTTGGTTATTGTTATTGTATGAAATTGTACATTGTAATCACATTATTTTTGGCCATGTGTGTTTATTTCAGTGATCCATGTGTTTATTTTTTACTAATGCCTGAAACATCTTTAACCACTGGTGGTGGAGATGGTAATGGTGAGGTTAATGATACTATACCAATATTGGTGACACAAATCAATGACAATCATACTGTTGATGAATATACAGAATCCGATTCTATATTATTGCTTCAAAAAGGACAAAAAATTGAATATTGTGAATTTAAATTCGCTTACATTATATCATTGATCGTTGGATTATTAATATATGGATTAATATTCATAATATATACATGTCAATTGATTATTCATTTTTATAATTTTCCATGGTATCTTTCCGAATCGATTCTATTGGGTTGTTATTCAATCATTCTATTAATTATGTCCATTGTTGCATACGTTACTAGCAATCATGCAATTGGAACAAGTTTAGGTAAGTTATTACCATTATTATTCATAATTTGATTTTTCATTACTAAACTTTTTCATTCAATTTGTGTTTTTGTTTACAGCATTTATCGATAGTTTAATTGGCATTATTCTTGCATTCGTAATATTTCGTAATCACAGAGATGGTATTGTTCCAGCCGCATTAATCGTTCAATATGATCCAGATGGTAATCTTTTAACACAAATATTATCCAGACGACATTTTGTCTGATCTGATCTTGACACAATGGGAACAAAATATTCTGTTGATATGAATTTTTTTTCCCTTGTCTGATTATAAACAAAATAAAGTAAATGAAAACAAAAAAAATAATTGACCCATAAAAGTGGCTACTTTATTGTTTTGTTTATTTGTCTTAATTTGCACTTGAATTTGCATCATTTCAACCTTTCATGAATAATGTTTGTGTGTGTGAGAGAGAGAGAAAAACAATAGTCTCTTTACAAAAAAGAAACTTTTTCAAAAAACAAAAATCACAAAGATGACTTGAAATTGAAAACAATAGACAAATCATAAATGTAAAAAAAAATAATAATCATCATGGATAATAATAATCGACACAATTGGCCATCAACATCCACCATAAATTCAACATTGACTTCAACAGCTAATCATAATAATTGTCAACATTATCACCATTATCATTATTATGGTTCATTATCCATAACGACATCGACATCAACATCAACAACAACAACAACAACAACAACACTACATCTACAACGAAAACAATTCCTGACAATTCTAATCAAATTAGATCATCATCATATTATCCATTATTGCCAATTTCATCGACAAATTATTGTGATAATAGCCAAAGAATTAATAAATTTTCCAATCATTTGACAAAGAAAAATATTCCCGAATCATTAACAAAATTGTGGATGACTGATGACGATGAGCAATATTCAAATATTCGACGTCATCATCATCGTCATAAGCATCCATATCGTCATCAACATCATAATGATACGGCTGCTGAATCGACATGTTTTCTTGAAGATACCGCAATGGATGAAACAAATCTATCCGGTTCATTTGTTCATCAAGAATTTCGACCATCAATATCACGTGCTTTAGAATATTGTCATAATGAAGTTTTACCACCATATAGACGATTACTTAAATTATTGGGTTGGCAACCATTTCAATTTGATTGTTCGGGTTTTGATTGTTGTAAAATTTTAATCAATTCATTGCATATAATGTTTTTGTTTCTGATCATTTGTATTGGCCATCTACTTCAATATGCATCATGTTTTCGACAGGATAGTCTCGGTACTATGGATATTTTCGATGCAAAAATTCTCAACGATAACGATAATGCTGCTATTATAGATTTATTTCATCAACATTTTCATTTAGAAACAAATCAAAGTTATCAATTTTTTAATTTGACAAAAATTTTCAAAGAAATTAATCATGAACTTGCTAGTGAAATTGATGAACAAATTTTTATGAATCGTGTACAAATATTTCTACATTGTAAAGGATCAGCAATGGCACATTATTTTCTACCCGGTATCATTCATCTGGTATCATTTGCCATTATATTGAAACATTTACGTTTCTGTGAAGTGGATCGTTTTCAAAATCTATGCCTATTGAATTTATTATTAGCCACAAAAATTATTGGACATAAAAAGGCTAGTATTCAGATTAAAAAAATTGTACGAAATTGGATTGTAGCCATTTTTCTATGTCTATTATTGATCATGATTCAATTCGCTATACGTTTATTCATATTTGATGATGTATCATTTGGTTTTATTGATGCCGAACATTTACAATGGCTACCACAACCATTATTGTGGCTAAAATCTTTTTGTTTCATTTTATTTTCATTCATTGAATTGATACATATTTCAATCATAATCATATATGCACTTTATTGTCAAATGAACATTCTATTCATTCAGATGAATGTTACAGCCATAAGAGAAAAACGAATTAATTTTCAGGTAAGTTTTTACTATATTATGATGATGTGGGTAAACATTTAATTTAACAAAAAAAAAATTTTTTTTTTTGATAATTATTCATAGGAATTTGCCAAAAATACCGAAATATTCAAAATGAACATCAACTTCCTTAATAATCGTTATTCATTGAGCGTATCATTGTTAATGATTTATATAACGGCCAAAGCATCGGTTACCATGTTGGATATGTTTGCCAAATATTCATATGTTGGATGGCATTTACTAATGTTGGCTATTTCATCAATGATTTATTGGTCATTGTTATTATCGGTACCATTGTTACAGGCAGCAAGATTGACCAACGCCTGTCAATCGATCATCGACATTGGCCATGAGTTGTGTGCTAGACCATTCTGTTATCAACAAACAGCAAGAGATGATCTCGATTCATTGTTGACATATACAAGTAGTTTAAATCTAAAGGCACGTTTATTAATGATTCCGGTGCGCCCATCCTTTATTATATCAATATTTCTTGTTCTCATTTTTATTATATTGATTCTAAGTCAATTTCATTTGATTGATTTATGAGATTTGTGAAAAAAATTTTGTTGTTATACTCTCTATATTATTGATAAACAAATTAAAATAAAATCCATCATTATGAAATAAAAAAAAATATGCAAATATCACAGCATTGTTTTATTTCTTATACAACATTTGGTAGGAAGTTCATGCCAATTATATTCATATACAAGTCGTTGTTCCAGCTGTTGATTTCTGTAACATAAATAGCCAAAATTTATCAATGAATTATATTTGTTGGTCATATCAGCAACAGTTTGTTTATGTTGAACAAGAAATGTATTGATACATCCACGTGATCGATATTCGGTATCGAAATTAATATCATGCAATCGTTCAATATGTAATGGTGATAGCCATGTTCCAAGTGATACATCTTCACTTTGATATAGCTGTAACCAATGTGAATTTGAAGCAATGAATTCAATTAATTCATGTGAAAGTACGTAACCACCACCTAATGCATATGGTAAATATCGATCACATAGGAACCAATTTTTTTCTTTCCAAACACCTTTTTGTTTAACATGAGCACGACCATCGAAAAAACCCCAATAGATTGGAAGTTTATTTGAATTCTTGAGATTTCTTTGTTCCAACCATCTATAAATGGCATCGATACGAGCAAATGAATCATCATCAACTTTGATAAGATATTCAAATTTTCCACGATGATGATCCGAGATCCAATGAAATGATTGAATTAATTTCAATGATAAATTCTGATATGTATCACTAAGATTTGATAATAACATAAGATCATGATGTTGATGTTGTTCTTTCAAAAGTGCCGTTTTTGTTTCCGATGATAACTTATTCGTACCGATAACAAAATAATGTTTAAATTGAAGATTATTGCCCAGATTTATCCACGTATCACGTATACAATTACGGCGGGCAAGATTTTTAACCGATGTGAACACAATACAAATGAGAAAATGGTGATCAGAATTATCTACAAATGGATAAAATATCTGATCTGAATGATTATCATTTAATTTTGATGATGACCCAAAAATGATATTCATAAGAATAAAGCAGAGGATAAAACCGGCAAAAAATGCAACAATCAAATAGATACGACGTGATCCGATGATTTTCATCATTTCAAAAAAAAATTAACATATATTATTCACCATCTGGTGATCAATTCGAGCATTTTGAATCTGAAATAGAAAAAAAACTAAATTTGAATTTCAATATTTAAAAATTAATGAAATAATGAATTTATTATTACCTGTCAACAGACTGATTGATCAACTGAGTGCATGTGACCAAAGAATGATATTTGTTTGGATATAGTTTTATTAAATTCATTTTCACATCGATGTCGATATAATCTAATCTTAATAATTAAAAGTCATCGACATGATTATCACGATAGATAGATCAAATATACGTAAATTAATCCGTTCAATCAAATGATTGTTTAGGTTCAATGGATTTATTTTTCCAAAAACAAACAAACAACAGCATCAATAATTATCATTGCCGCTAAATGATGATTGTCGATTTGGATTGTGAAGGCGGTTGTGGTGGCAGTGGTGGTGGTGGTGGTGGTGGTGGCAATATGTCTGGATCCATGTTATTCAAGATATATTTTCCATGTTGTGAAAAAAGAGCCAATAAAAGATAGGCTTGGCTTACCACATTCACCGATAGATATATATAGCGTATTGTATAGGATTTCATTTTTTTTTCTTTCTGGCCATGTTTCAATGTTGTGTTACTATAAATATAAATGGTGGCCACAACAAATTTAACGATCACGAATGGCTTTGCTTCTGCTTCAAAGTGCGGATTCCATTTATATATGCTCATGATGATGATGATTGGTGATATGTTATAAAATGGTGGTATGGCATAATGTGAGAAGATAATGGAAAACAACAAATTCTATAGCTCAAAGTAAGATTTGAGTTTCTTGTTTTTCTCTTCTGGTGTGTGTGTGTGTGTGTGTTGTGTGTTGGTTTTTTTTTGTTTTCGTTGTTGTTTTTGATGATGATGTTGATGATATCTTTTGTGTTGGATTTTTTTGTTTTCAATTTTTTTACCATTTTGATTTGAGTTCGATTTTTTTTTTTTACTTTATTTTTTTTCACACAATTTGATTCCGATAGATTATTACTATTTCACCGTTGTCATCATCATCAACAACAACAACAACGTAAACAAAAATAATTTTGTGCTTTTAATTTTTTCAACTTTTAAAAGTTTTAATTAGTGTTCCCGATTGACGTGTGTGTGTGTGTGTGTCCATCATTATATTCTAATCAATTTGATTTGATTATTACGATTTTATTTTGCTTAATTTTACGATTTAAAAAACAACAACACGATGGCTGATTGTTTAGTATCGAATCAATTTTCTTCAAGCCAAAATCGTTTCGGTAGTGGTACTAATGGCGGTAATAGTTCGGCCAACAATGATGAAAATAGGTGTGTAGTGGATAATTGATAAACTTTCAAATCAAGTTGCATTAATATTTGTCATTTTTTAATTTTATTTGTAGAAAACTTTTTCTCGGTGGACTCAGCTGGGAAACTGAAGAAAGTATGTGTTTGTTTTATATATTGTTAGTATTTTTGTAATTTAATTTTTGTGTGTTTGTTTTTATTTCACAGAGGATCTTTTCGATTATTTTAATCAATTTGGACAAGTGGATAAAGTAACAATAAAATACAATTCAAGTACGGGACGATCACGTGGTTTTGGTTTTGTTACATTTATCAACGATGAAACTGTTGATGCTGTATTGAAAACTGGACCACATGTTATAAAGAATCGTACGGTTGATCCAAAACGACCGAAAGGAAAGAATGGTTTGAAGAAAATTTTTGTCGGTGGTATCGATGGCGATATGTCGAATGATGAGATTCGTACCTACTTTGAACAATTTGGAGCAGTATGTCTTGTATTTATATTTACATCTATTTTTTCAATTTGTTATCTTTAACATTGATTTTAGATTGAAAACATTGAACGACCATTTGATCGTCAACGTAATCGAAGTCGAGAATTTTGTTTCGTCATTTTCGAAAGCTGTGAAGCAGCTGAATCGGCCATTTCAGTTCCGAAACAAGTAATTGGTGGTAAAGAATGTGACATTAAAATCGCTCATCAAAATCGTAACCAAAATTCACATCAAAACGGAATGGGCGGTATGGGTAGTTCTGGTGGCATGATGAATCGTCGTGGTGGTGGTGGTGGTGGTAGTGGCAGCAGCGGTAATGGTCTTGGAAATGGTGGTGGACCAGGAAATCAATTTTTCAAGAATCATAATCAAAGCATTAATTCAAATTGGCGTAATTCAGATCATCAGAATGGAAATTTTCGTGGCAACAATGATGATTATTCTGATACACATTTTCTTACCAACATTGATACTATGCCGAATAATAATTATTCAAACTATAAACCGTATAATAATTCAAATTTTTATCCATATTGGCATTAAATGATGCATGAATGTTACGGTCGATGTTGCCAATCATATATATCACATCGATAAAAAAAACTTATCATCTCGAAAAAACGAATGCGCCAAATCAATTTATTTACTTAGAATGATGATTAAATTAATAACGACGAATAATCACGTGAACATTCATCATATATAATTTTCTTCAATTTTTCACTTCAAATTACACTTTTCTTTATAATTTCTTCGTTTTTTTGCTTTTGCTTCAAAAAAAAATATTTATATATCTTATATATATCTTATATGCAGAACATTTGTAACCGGAAACACGTGATTTTTGAATCCTACACACACACACACACACATACCTACGAATTCTTGCGCACTTACAATTATTCTTTCATCATATATAAAACATTGATTTAACAATGTTTTTTTTTCTCAAAAAACAGATTCAACTATACTAATCCTTTCATATTATATGACACAATGAAAATTTGACATCATTAATTATATATTCAATCAATTCTTTCAATAATAATCACCCAGCAAAAAGATTATCCATCATTGTCATCATCATCATCATCATCATCTCCACCACCAATCCGCTTCCATCAAATTATCATTAATCTGTTATTACAAATCATAATTGACACGATATAAGATAAATCCGGTGTTGCTTGTTGTTGTTGTTTGTTTGTTGTTTGTTGTTTGTATTATCCTCTATACACTACATACAACAGAATGAATATTTGGATTTTGACTATGCCAACAATATCATCATTTTTTTCTTTTATTTTTCGAATGATAATACACTATATATTGATGTGTAACAATCCGCTTTTTAACATAAAAACCGTTTCGAATGTAAAAGATCTCAAAGATTTTTCTTTTTCGTATCAACTATTTTTTTTTCACACACACACACACACTTCCGATTGATTCTTTTCTTTTTTTTCTATTAGCTGCTCTTTTTCTGTTCCATCTGACCTCAATAATTGTTGTCGCTCGTCGTATGCGTCATTTTTTTTGAAATTCTACATCGCAAAAATAAAACCTAACAGAACTCTATTAATAATCTCATATTTTTTTTCATCATGATTCTCAAATTTCATACGGACAAAAAATTATTCTTTTCTTTTTTTTTCATTGTTCCCAAAGATTATCCCCATTATTACTTAAATTTATATGCAAACAAACACACACACTTACACACAGACAAATCGATGATTGCAACAGCATCAAATCTTTTTCCTGGAATCTAATTATAATGAAAAAAAAACAATAATAATAATAATAATAGCAGAACTAAATCCGAACCAATCTTTCATCCTACATACAAGTGAAAAAAACAACAGAATCTTTTTGCTTATCTTTTGGTAAAGAAAAGAAGATTTTTTTTTTATATTTATTATTATCATTATTGACAGAATTTATATTCGGTTTTTTTCTCATCTGTCAACGAATTGTATTTGGTCGCTATTCACAAACACCCACCTACCTGTTTATGGAAACAAACACACACACACACACACACAGAATGCATGCATAAAAGAATGGATAATTACATACGAATTTGTACATATATTGAAATCTTATGGAAATTTCCAATTCATGATAATTTTCAAAGGGAAAACCAACAAAAACAAATTTGGACAAATATTCTTTTTTTTTCGACACTATCACAAAATGTCATGTCATTCACGTGTGTGTGTGTGTGTGTGTGAACCGGATCCGGATTAATTTTATTTTTATTTCATTTGAAAAGAAAATAGATCATATTCGTTCCTGTTGAAATTATCATTCTTTCTTTCTTTCTTTGTATTTTCAAACAAAACCCACACAAAACAGATTCACTTTGATGATTATATGATGATGATGATGATGATGATAATCCTTTATTTCTACTCAAATTTGCTGACAATTTTTTTTCACTTTTTTTCACATTTGCTTCTAATGTTTCTATTTTGGTCGTAACAACATATTTTATTTTCTCTCTTTTGAATTTTTTTTTTATATGAATGATTTGTTATTTATGGAACAATGAAGAACCACAGAATGTGAATATATTTGAAATGTGACGACAAAAAAAAAAAAACAAGAATCCGAATAACAACAACAACAACAACAAAAAGAAAGAAAACAAAAACAAAAACTGATTATATTGATTTGGAAAAAAAAACTGGAGAGAAAAATTGAAAATATAGGCCAGAAAAAAAAGTATTCAATTTCAAAATTCTTGAAACTTGGTTCTTGAAACTATGGTTTTATTTTGTATTTGGTTGAGTTATTTTTAATTTAGAAATTCCTTTGAAATCATGTAGGTTGAAATCATATGTGACATTTTTGTTTTTTTTTTATTTATTAATGAAACAATTTCATAATTGTCAATGATTTGAAAAAGAAAAAGTTAACCGGAGATTTTTTTTTCGTAATCATATATGATGGAAAAAAAATATTATTAGATTGGAAAACCTTTTTCTATGGAATTTTTTTTCCCACATGAAAAAAAAATTCATCCATCTTCGGATAATTACGTCAACATTTGTGGCCACTATGGTAGTAGTAGGAACAAAAAAACAGATTAGATTGTCCCGCATATATTTTTTTCTACACGCATTAACGCCCGTACCGAGAAAATTCCATTTTGGATCACACACACACACACACACACACACACACACATACACAGATTTAATTTATTCATTCATTCAATTTATTCGATCAGTTTTTGAATTATTATTACCGAGTATCAATGAATTTTGATTGTTTTTTTTTGTTGTTGTTGTTGTTTTGCATTTGAAACCATTAGAAACAAAACAAAACAAAAAAAAAAAAATAGAATCAAAAGTTCCTAATGACCAAAAAAAAAAAGAGAGAATGGAACGAAAGAGAAAAAAACCGATCATTATCATCAATCTAAATCAATTGACAATTAATAAAATGTCTGGAATTTCAAATGAATGAATGTAGAATGTAGACCAAAAATGAATCAATCTATATTTAACGATATGTGTGTGTGTGTGTGTGTAATCAATAATCTGAAAAGAGAATCCAGCATGTTGTTAAACTAATGGTTTTTTCTGTGTTTAGTGTGTGTGTGTGTGTGGTTTACGATAATTTTTTTCCAATTTAATCTTTCATGGGAAAATGGTGATAATATTGAATAACAACAACAACAACGACGACGACAACAACAACAACAACAACAACAACTTGCAATGGATAAAGGATTCAATATTCATTCATTCATTTTCACAAAGGCTCAATCATTTTATCAAATATTTAGCATCGAAAAGTACCGAATAATAAAAAAAAACTCTTTAACTAATGAAAATAAAAGTGATTGAAAGCTTTACAACATGAAGAATGAACTCGATGAAGAATAATAATAAAAAAAAATTTATCAAAAAGTGTGTGTGTGTGTGTGTGTGTGTGTGTGTGTGAATACCATATACCAGATACACATCATTTGAATATTCAAATGAGTTTGTCAAACAATTTTTTTTTTTGAAATGTTGTTGTTGTTGTTGTTGTTGTTGTTGTTATTTTTTGTGAAATTTGTTTCCATTCTTATTCTTGTTTGATCCCCGTTTTACATGGATAGTACCGATCTTTGGTGATGATGGTTTTTTTTGTTGCCTGTTCCTTTTTAATGAATGAATGAATATGTGAAAACAGCAAAGAGATGAGAATGAAAAAAATTTGCAAACTTGAAAAAAAATGTCAAAAAAAAGAGTTTTTTTTCTTTATTTCTTTTCACAAAGATAAAAAAAAAGTGAAAAAAAAGACCTATGTATATGTTCAAAGAGATGAGAATGAAAAAAAATTGCAAACTTGAAAAAAATGTCAAAAAAAAGTTTTTTTTCTTTATTTCTTTTCACAAAGATAAAAAAAAGTGAAAAAAAAACCCTATGTATATGTTCTGTTGTCGATGTCAAACATTTTTTGTTGAATGTCAACTATGTATTATTATATTGTCCTTTTTTTTCAACCATAACGGTGTTAGATTCGATTCGATTCATATAGTGTATAAAAATGGGCGATCGAAATCAAATTTTGAATGAATGAATGAATGAATGAATGGAAAAGAATGACAAGAAATTCTTACTCCTGAAATGAAAGCCTTTGGAGATTGTTGTTTTTCAAGTGTATGTGTGTGTGTGTGTGGATCCATTTTCAAACAAACAAACAAAAAAAACCATAGTTCACCATTCGATAATAGCAAAAGCAATGACAAAAAGTTCAACTTGAATGAATGAAAAGAAAAAAAAATCTTTTTTTTTCAACTGACCAGAAGAAAAAAGTTTTCAATTTGTAAAGAGAATTTTCATTTCTTCTTTAAAAAAAATTCTGGCTGTAAGGTGATGGAAATTTTAGATTTTTTTTTTCGTTTACTTTTTGGCTTGTCTTTTTTTTCTCATCGAATGTTTTTGTAAAGATAAAGTAAAGAAAAAAATGCTGAACATTTCTTTTTCCATTCTTACATGAGGAGAATGGTTGGAATTTTTTTTTCCCCCATTTGTTTTCATGCTGATTCTGGAATTCAAAATACCAACAAAAGAATGAGAATGAAAAAAAAACGAAAAAAAAATATCGAACGATGCTGATGAAGATGATGAAAAAAAAGATAAGAAATGAAAACGAAAAGAAAGAATTCCATCATATCGATTCCTACATTTTATGGTGTGTGTGTGTGTGTGTGTGTGTAAAAAAATTCTTATTTCCTTGTTATTGTATAATATATTTACTTGAAATAGCCAAATACACACCTACGTGTTTGTATTGTGAAATCTATCTTTTTCTATTTTCTTATTCTTGATACGAATATTCAAAATGAAAATTGAATCGTCAAATAATGAAAAAAAATCTTTTATCATCATCATCATCATCATCAGGGAATGATAATCATACCAGTTGTTCGTTGGTTGATATTGATATAATGTGATCATAATTTTTGGATTTTTTTTCTGATTTAAAATTCCGTTTTCTTTTTACTCATTGCAAAAAAAATGAATAAATGAACAAGAATACAGAATGTTCCCGAAAATTCACATTCGATTCAAATTGAATTTTTTTTTTCTACCATTCTTGTTTTTTTTAAATGAAAAAAAATTTTCATCATCATCATCATCGAAAGAGACAATTCTTTTTTCCTCTCTCTCTCTCTCTCCCTTATTGATTTTATTTCAATTTATATAGAAATTTTAATATTATATTATTATTAATGTAGTTATAATAATAATCCAATTGATGAACAATGAGGTATGGATGATGATTGGAAACAAAACAAAAAAAATGTTGTCAATTTTGAAATGAATATTGATATATAGTGAGAAGTGTGTGTGTGTGTGTATATGATGATGGAGATAGATGATGGCAAATGATGATGATGATGATATGGGCGGGTTATATATTCTTTTTTGTTCCATTTTGATAAAATTTATATAATTCATTCATTCCATTTATATAATAGATAGATGGATAGATAATGTAAATTTCTGCTTTGTGTATGCGTTTGATATTGATGATTTTTTTTTTTTTTTTTGATCTTGAGGATTTCTTATTTCGCATCTGGATGTGTACATTTTATCACCATCCATTCGTATAAATATATTTGATAGTTGTTGTTGTTGTTGTCCAGTATTTTAAGTATCATGAAATATTCAAAATACGTATAACAAATAACAAATGACCAGTTCTCATACATACAAAAAATGTTCAAATATCTGATTGATGTATGTACAATTCAAATACAATACGACGTTTTTTTTGTTGATGTTCAAAATTCCAACGTCTATTTCGGCTATTCGATTGATATTTTTTTTGACCATTATTGCTTATTTTTTTCGGTCGTATGTTCAATTCGGTTGTTTTTGTTTTTGTTTTTTCATATTCATCGATATGGAAGACTTGAATTAAATTTTGTTGTTCATGTTCAAAGGTTTTCATTTTTTTTTTTCATGATACTGATACATGAACATGAACCAATAAAAACCGTGAATGAAGAATAGTGAAAAATGATGTAATCAACCTGAAAAGTTGTATGCAAAGAAATGATGGCTATTTTTGTTCTTTTTTCTTCTTCAGCAATATTCTCTTGTGTATTGTTAGTGAATTTTTTTCCGATGAACATATCTTCAATCGTATTCGATACAGAATATTAGTATAGTATAGGTGTGTCTGCTGGTATGGCGTTGTAAAAATTTAAGTGCTGAATGTATGAATGTTGTATTGTTATTTGGATGAATATTGGTAAAAATGTATCGAAAAGGACAAAATAAAAAGAAAACAAACAAACAAAAAAAAATTTCTCAATATAGAATATGTAGTCATATATCAGAATGATTCGTAATGTCCGGAACCATCATTGGTTTGAAATGAATCATCATCATCATCTTCATCGTCGTCGTCGTCTTCGTCATCATTATTATTATTATTATTATTATTAACATTGTAATCACCATTTCCATTGTCATTTTTATGAACAGAATATTTGATATGATCAAGATTTTCAACGTATGATGAAAATGATGGCCGTTTTTGTTGTTGTTGATTTATTGTTTTTCTATTCATATTATTTCTATCATTGTTATTGCTAATCGTTTTCTGTTTATTCATCATATAATATCTATTCAGAGGGTAACTTTTGTCTGTTTTCAAAGAAAGAAAAAAAAAAAAAGTTCAATTGATCATATAAATTTTTCATTTCAGCAGGAAAAAAAACAACTAATAAAAAGAATCAATAAAAAGAGAAAAGAATTTCATAACATACCACAGACAGGAAGGCGACCACGAACTCTTGTTCCAGCAATTTCATTACCATTCTTATCTGAACACCAACAATGTTTTGTTGAATGTTGACATTGTATATTACGATAATGGCCTTTTTCATCGCATTGTGGTAAATATTGTCCAGCCATTTTACCATTATTTTGTTGTATAAGATGTTTCTGATGATATAGACAAGGTTTGGCTAGTTTGGTTGATGATGATCAGTAATGAGAAAAAATCGATTAAAAATTTACACATGAAAAAAAAAACAAATACTGATACTTACAACGTAAACTAAAACATGAACACCATTCATAGGCGCTCAATAGATGATTACCATTTTCATCGCATTGTATTAGATATGGTTCGAGGCAATGTTCATTTTCATCATGTTCAAGATAATATAGCTCTTCGGGTGTTAATTTATAATTATTATCAATATCAAAATGATAAAACATGAATGACACGGATTCTTCACAATCCGGTAGATTTTTATTATTATCATTATTATTTGTATTTGCATGTTGTTGTTGCTGTTGTTTTGGAATCAATGTGTTTGTCATATTGGATTTGATTCGTGTTAATTCCTCTTGCATAACAACAGAAAACCAATCAAGTAATCGAAATCCCATCGAACGTAATTCATCGGATGAACATTCATTCATTCGATTCACTTTTTCAATATTATTAGAATTGTTTTTCATCATTGATGTCATTGAATCACCAATAAAATAATGATATTGTTTCAATGAATCTTTGTTCAATAGATTGGATGAATTTTTAGATTGTTTCATTAGTGCGATTTGTGTTTCTTCCATTTTATTGATGGAATTTTTTCTTTTTAATTTTGATGACTTAGCAGCCGTTGTCGTTGACGTTTTTGGTACTGTTTTTGTTGTTGTTGCTGTTGTCGAGGCTCTCATTTTTGTTTGAATCAATTTTGAACATGGACAGAATCCAAAACAAGCGAAACGTACATCCGTACCATGGATACAATTATGGAATTCAATCCTACACATTGATGAATATGTTGAATTATCTGTACCACAAATTACTTGTGAACCATGACTAAATGGACAGGATGGACATTGAATTATGTTGATGTTGTTATTCGATTTGTTATAACTATTATTTCTTTGCTGTTGTTGTTGGTGTTCAAATTCATTTCGAATATTTGTTCGCTGCTGCTGCTGCTGCTGTTGTTGGTGTTGTTTAGGTTGTTGTTCTGGTTTTAGTTGATTGCCATCATAATGTTCATAGTGATGTATGGCCTTAATTTGATTAGATGAAATCGTTTTCCATATAGCAGTAGCAGCAGAATCATCATCATCATTATTTGGATTATTATTTCGATTATTTTTTTTGCTACTATTGCTGCTATTGTTGTTCTTGGTTCCTGTTAAAGTAGTCTTATTCTTGTTGTTTTTTTGCTTAATTTTGTTGTTGTTGCCGTTGTCACTGCTGCTGCTGCTGCTGCTGCTGTTTGTTTCATTCAATTTTTTCTGTAAATAAGATGATGATGAAAATAAATGCTGCTGTTGTTTAGTTGTAGACGGATGTTGTGCTTGATGGTAATATTTTACATTGGTAGTAGTAGTAGTTTTGTAAACTTCCGGAAAATATTTAACATCATTATCATTGATTTTATCTGTCTTGGTTTCATTATCATCTTCATCGGCGTCGTAGTCATCTTTATCATCATCATCATCATCATCATCGCCGTCGTCGTCGCCGCCGCCGCCGTCATCATTGATGTCATCATCATTATCATTTTCTTCATTGTAAATATTGAAATGATTATTGTTTTGTTGTTTATAAACAACATTATTATTCAATACATTTGGTTTTTTAACACATTCAGCTTGGCCACCATATTGTTCATCATCATTAATAATGAAACAATATTCATCCCAATCACATAGGATTTCATTGCATAGAATTCGATTATTATTATTTATTCGACCATTTTTTGTCACCATTTTAGTTGTTGTTGTTGTTGATGATGATGATGTGGATTTTTCGCTATTCGTTGACCATCGTTTCTGTTTTGATTGTTCATTGATGAACAATGATGATGATGTCGTTGCTGTTGTTGACGGAAGATTAACATTTTGTTGTTGTCGTCGTCGTCGTCGTTGTTCCAATTTCATTCGTAGCTCTTGTTTGATCATTTTTCTTGTTGTTTTTTGTCTTTCTTGTTGTTGTAGTTGTTGTTGATTCTAAATGAATGATCCAAAGTCAGGAACAGGAAAAACACATAAACAAAAAACAAACAGAAAGAAAAAATAGAGAAAGAATAAAAAAAAAACATTCATTTATTCAATGCATTCAATTCATTCATGGTGAGAAGATTGTCAAAGTCATTAATAATATCGGGACAATAATAATAATATTATATTAATAGTGGAATGAGAAAAAAAACTATTCACAATCAAATAGATCTAGTATCTAAATATAATAGAAGTTGTGGTTGTATGTTGGTTGCATTCTGATTAGAAATAGCATACGCTATTCATTTATACAAATGTGGGTGTTTTGAAAATTATTATTATTTTTTTTCAATAATTTTTATTCCACTTACTTGAGATAGGATTTTCATTTTCTTTCGATCATTATTATTGTTTTTGTTGTTGTTGATGATGTTTGGTTTGTATTTTTCTTTAATATTATTATTATGATGATGATGATCATCATCATCAACACGATTCTTATTCATAATCATTTCAGAATTCTGCAACTCGATTCGTTTTTGATGTTCATTCTGTGGTTGTTTTTGTTGTTGTTTTGAATAGAATTTTGATGGTAATTTTTTTGTTGATTTTTCTATACTCGCTAATGATGATGATTTTGATACGATGTTGAACGGTTGTTGATGTTGTTGTTTTTGTTCATGAAAAGAGTTGTTCGATCTAACTTTAATACTATTATTATTTTTATTTTTTGACTTGATCCCCTGATTATTTTTTTCGATATGTATTTTTGATTTCGTTGATCGTCGTTGTTGTTGTTGTTGTTGCTGCTGCTGTGGTTGAATTGTATGACGTTGTGGTTTCGAACATCTAGAATTCCGTGAAATCCCTCCAAAGCCACTATGATCATCATCATCATCATCATCATAATCATCACAACTTAAGGCTTTTGTATGGAATTTTCCATTATTATTATTATTATAATCATCATTATCATTATGATCGTCATCATCAACATTCAATGATTCGATATTATAATGGTTATTATTGATGATGTAACCGTCATCATCATCGTCGCCATCGTCTTCGTCATCATCATCATCATCATCATCATCATCGTCATCATCATCAGTGGTGATTATGTGATTATCGATGGGTAATGATGATAATTCGTGATTTTTGTTACCCCCAATAACAGTGGATATTGTTGATGATAATGATATTGAACTTGTTAAATTGTTAACAGAAGCGTTGGTGGTGGTGGTGGTTGTGGTCAATGGTGAATGTGATGATAATAATAATGATTGTTGAAATAATATGAATAAAATTACAAAACAATAATAATGAAATAGATAGGAATAGGATAATGAAATTTTCATTTTCATTTTTGCTATTTTTCGTTGCTATGTGTGACGATGACTGAAAAAACTTTTTGTTTCGTTTGTTTTCAAGAATTTATCCACATTCATATCATCATAACGATATAATTAGATATATGGTTTCTAAATGTAAAAATTAGAAAGAAAAAAAAATAAAATTAGATACAACAAAAAATCAAAATGAGAAATTACTGTGCAAAAAAAATCGATGATAATAATCAGGGTTGTTGAATGATTTTATAATGTGTTAAAAATTTTTTTTTAGAATGAAATTCGTTAATTTTCATTTTGAAGAAATCGATTGTGGAATCGGAATCAAACAAGAACAAATTACAATAACAACAATAATGATGATAATAATCAACAACAACAACAAATAGCAGAGAAAAAATTAATGACAATTGATCTTTGTAAATAAAACTCGATGACAATAATGCAAATAAATTAACTTTTTGCTTGTTGATGTTGTTGTTGTTGTTGTTATTGTTCCATTTTCTCAAGTTGTCAACTTTACCATTCAAGTTGAAAGATTATAGCACCATAATCATCATCAGTGGCAGGTCCAATGAAATTTTTTTCACTCTATTTTCATTCAATGTGTGGGGGCCCACAGTCGCTACTGCAAGATGTTGTTAGCGCCCAGGGCCCATAGAATGGTTGATCATCATCATTATTATTTATTATAAACGATAAACTGCCATCAACAATACCATTTCTGTTTGTCTCTGTTAGTCCAATATATATAATATATAATATAATAATAATAGAAATCATGTTGTTGCCAAGTTGTTATTCGTTGTAATTAATGTCTAACATTAAAATCGACAACAACAACAACAACAACAACAAAAGTAATATCATCATAACAATAGACAAGAATTTCAGAGATTGGACAAAATAAAAATTCGAACAACAAGAGAAAAAACCTTTCTAATTCTACAGATTCATGTTATTTATGTTAAAATGGCATTGTTTTTGTTTTTGTTTTTTTTGTTTTTGTTAAGATGTCGTTAATAATCGTTGTTGTTTTCATTATTATTATCATTATTTGTTAAATGGAATAATATCAAGTAAGAAGAATGAAAAAAAAGAAGCTTTTGTTTTTGTTTTTGTTTTTGTTGTTGTTGAAATTTAATGGAATCTTCACTTATTAGTATGATGATTGAATGGTCTGTGTGTATGTGTGTGTGGGTAGACAAACAAAACCTTATTGTTTCGAATAATAATCGATAAAAATAACAAAGAATAACAAATTCGTCATCAATGTTTGTTTGTTTGTTTTAAAAAATGATTCTTTCAAATCATCGGACCATCGTCATATGATGGAAATTCTTGATCCTTTGACGAGCAAAAGAATCAAAACCTGTGTGTGTGTATATATAATGTGTGTTCCCGAAATGTTTCAATATTCGAATCATTTTTTTTCTTTTGAATTCAAAAGTCAGCCAGTCATCATCATCATCATCATCTTTAACGCCATACACAAAAAAACATGGCACATACATAAAACTATTTAAAAAAAAATGGAACAAGTAAATGAAAACGATGATGATGATGAAAAAAATCGTTGAACCAAATAATGATAATAAGAAAAAAAAAGAGTATTACATACATCCATTGTGCACACACACACAAACACACTCGACGGATTCACAGATTTTGTCGTCCAAAAGATCCGATGAAACAGCCGAATTTTTTTTTTTTTTTTTTTGAAGTTTGTTTATGTCAAGATTTATATTTTTTTCTCTCTCTCAGTGATTTTTTTTTTGTTATTCTTTTGCTATTATTTGCTCGCGATTCATATATTCTCGAATTATAGAACAAAAAAAAAGAGAATGAAAGCTTCATCATCATCCATAGAGTCTTTGAGAACTAATTCCCGTTTTTTTTCTCTCTCTCTCTCAATATTATTATTGCCATTGTTGTTAATGTTGATGATGATGATGATCATCATCACCATCATCAACATTATTATTACATTCGCTGAGGCTATTGTTCCAGAATGAACAGAAATACCAATTTGAACCAATTTTTTTTATATGTGTGTGTGTGTGTGTGTGTGTCGATGCTTGAACCGAAGAATCTTCCCGGATGAATGAGAATTCTATAAGTAAGTCTGTGAATGAATGAATGAGTGAGTGTGAAAATATATAGTGTTAAAATTGCAATTTTGTCGTCCGAAATATTCCTATATTTCTGTTCTCTCTCTCTCTGGTTGTTTATTTATTTGTTTGATTTTGATTGTTTTCTGTTTGTTTGTTACCCAGGCTTGTCTGATTTGTTTTCTGATTCTTGCTCATTTTTTTCATTGTTGTTGTTGTTGTTGTTGTTTTGAAAGTTTTCTTCTTTTATTCTTGATTGAAAATGAAAAATTCTTTCGAATTTTGAGAATGAAAATAAAAAAAAATTCCTACCCTCATCACTATCGATACTTATTGCCAGCGATTCGTTTTTTTTATTCGCCCCTCATCTCTTTATTCAATTTGATATTCATCATCAGAATTCTTTTTTTTTTTTTGCTCGTTGAAATGTTTGATGTTTACAGAATTTAAATTTGCGTTAACAAAAAATATTCAAAAATGGTACCCACAAAGAATGTTCATGTTGCTGATGATGATGATGATGATGGAACACAAATTTAGGGTCGCAAATGAAAATGAATGAGCCGACAACAACGACGATCGTCGATATTTAACGACCAAAAGTAAAAAAAAAATATCCCATTACATTACAAAACATTAAATGAATGAATGAATGAATAAATAAATGGTCCATCATAACAAGTTATCGACGTTTTTTTTTCAAAATCTTAAATTTTTCATTTTTCTCTCTTTCTAGCTTCTATGTAAATTGATATTGTTGCTGTTTTTTGATGCTGATGTTTTCATAGGAATCAAAAAGCATCATCATCATCATCATCGTTGGCATCCACATGAGCACGTTATATGTGTGTGGTTGGGCCTTTTCATCATCATCATTTTTTTCATGTGAACATTAATATGTAAACAAAAAAAAAAGGAAGAAAGAAAAGGCAAAGAATCGAATGTGAAGAAAGAGAAATAAGAAAAATTTCTTTTTCCCTTTTGGTTTGACTCATTTTTTTTCGGTGTTGTTGTTGTTTTGGTTGTTTTTGGTGTGGTATTCTATTCAACATAAACACTAAATAAATCCCAAACATAACTGATAAATCGTGTACTACCATAGTTTTTTTTTCTTACTGCCAACCCCCATTCATTCCATTTCATCATCATCATCATAATAAAATGTGGAATATATTTTTTTCCAGGCAAAAGAAAAAAAAAAAAATATAACGGGAATCCTAGAAAAAAATATATAAAATTTAATAATACACACGAATGAATTGAATGTTAAACGCTTGAATGAATCATTCGAATCGTGAAGAGAAAAAAGTGGTTTGGTCGTCATCATGTTTTTTTCATCATCATCATCATCGAAGATTGTGTGTTATCACACACAATACACACCCAGAATTTTATAAAAAAGATTTTTTTTCGATATTTTTCTTCAGAAAAATTCTCTGGTTGATTCATCTTTGATCATACACACAGATTGATGATGATGATGATCCTTGACTTTTTTTTCTACCGTTCCATAAAAAAATGTTGA